CACCTGGGGTTGAACTGGTATCTTGTGATCTGACCTGTGGAGTGTTAACCACTACACTATGGACCCACAGGTCTATTTAAAAAATTTTAATAATAGATTTAATAATAAAATATTTATTATAATTAATATTGATAAATAAATAAAAACAATATCAAAAGATTTTATTTTTCTTTATAATTTTATTTGAAAATAAAGATATAATATAATTAATATATCTCTTACTATTAAAATTACTTGAAATTAAGGTCTTTATCAATTATATAAAAATTTTTTTATTAAATTTTTAAGTAATAATCATTAAATTCAAATATAAACCTAATATTCTATAAAAAAACCATTATAAATTTTTTATTTTCATTATAAATAATTTTATATTTATATATAGCAAGTTTAATTATTTACTATGTTTTAAAAACTTGATATTTAAACTTAATTGATTTTTTTCTATTAATTTTAAATAAATAATTATAGTTACTTGATATTATCTTCAGTATATATGGGTTCTAATATTTATTTTTCTTTATTGCTTAAGTAAATTTTTATATAAAATTTTTATATTCATACAATTAATAAAGCTATAATATTTGTTTACAAAAAAAATATAATAAATAAAAATAAAATAATATTCTGATAATAAAAACAAATTCAATAAATTCTATATTTAATAATACTTTTTTTTTTTGGTTTTATTTTAAATGGTTTTTGTGAAATTAATAAAAGGTTTTAAAATTTTTTAAATAAATATATATTATAGAAACAATCAGTTTTAAAGAAAAATAATATACCGCTGTTATTAAATTTAAAAATATAGAAATATAAATATTTTATTAAAAAATAAAAAACGATACTTTTTATACAAAACCATTATTCAATGAGCTTCTATTTTTCAGACAAACAAGTTAATTTGTTTGTTAACAAATAAAATCAATTTTTATATTGTATAAATAAAAAATATACTGATGTTTCCAAAATCATATGTAATTGATCTTTTCAGAATCAATCTACAGTATAGGATGATATTACTCACATCGATTTCATAATCAATCAATCTAATATTTTACAATTAAAGAATCGGTATTACATGATCATTACACAATGTTAAATCTGTACAATCAATGTTATCTGTCAAACTCAAATAATCCTGAAAATTTGAACATACAGTGTATAATAAATAGCAGTTAATTTATTTGATGTTGATAAAAAATCAAGATTAATAATTAAATTAATTTGATTAGAGTTTGAATAGTATCTATAAACCCAATATATGAATCCAATATCTTATAAATATTTTAAAAAACAGGTTATCGGATTTGAATTATGGAACAAGTATGGTGAATTAATGTTGTATCAGGTATGGCAGGTTTCGGGAGGGTCAATTATATAATAGCACTTTTTCGCCGAGAGTAGGCTTTATTGTTACATTTATCGGATAGCTTATTTTATTTTCGTAGATGAATCTAGCGCTATTGATTTATACTGATAATTAATTGATGAACCCGGGTTCCCCTCAAAAATTAAAAATAATCCTTGTGACTTTTCCGTTCAAATAATAATGACAATGTGATTAATAGAAAAAAGAAATTCTTTAGTCTTATATTTTATGTAAATAATTGCTACGAATATACTAAATATATTCTTATATGATAATGTTTTATAAAACAGACTAATCTAAAGCGAACTCGACTTAAAATAAGTGGTTAGATCGGCGATCGACTTGTCAATGGCTGATTTATTACTAGCAAATTGTTTTGCAGCAGTATAATCCGCTGAAATGCACCAACTTTTTACCGAACTAATAAGACACTCTGTACGGACTTCAATTTCGGCAAACCAAAATCCGACTAGATGCGAACGTAACAACCATGATTTTCGTAAGTTACCAGAAGAATTGCATATAGTGTTATATTCTGATGTTCCGGCTTTGTAACCGGCCTGATCTGCAGCGCGACAAAGAACATCTTTAATAGTTACTTTATTGCCAATGATAGGTTTATAAGCTTTAATTGACATGTTTTCGACTTCAGTGTCGCTAGGATTTTGGACTTGAACGGCGGCAATGCCGACTTGCCACGCTCGATACTATTATTTGAGATATATCAGATTATCATGATTCAATTTAATTAATTAAATGTATTTAACATAATACGTACCGATTTCCATTGTGGACAAACTTCTAAAGGGCCAATTATCTTTTGACCACTAGAGTATTCACAATTAGAATATGAAAAAGGGTTCTTTTCATCGAGGACGCCTTCACGCAAAGCCCACCAGGTCACACGTGCTACCATTTGAAGAGGAGTCGCATTGGGATTGTCTTTTGGAAGATTTGGCAGGGTCCATTGTTTAATCCAACGAACCCATTTTTCTTGGTCAGCGTTGAGATTATATCCATTCACCTTAATGCAAGAAGCAAGTTTTAAATAGCTGACGAAGAAAAAGTTGATTATTAAGAAAATATTGATTATCTTCATAATGAATTACGTTTTTTAAAATCAAGCTTGTGGATTGTATAAAGTTGTTCAGAGACATTTGCTGATTTATAGGCATGGAATCTCTTCGAGGACGTGAATAGCATGATTCATTAGCACCGTAGCCTCGCATATCATATTTGTGGGGAAGTCATTCGATTTTTACAATTGGTAATTGGGCAAGATTTACTAACGAGCAACTCTCATAGTCATGAACATCAAGATGGGTAAATTTTCTAATAGATAACTCCGGTTCGAAAAAAAGTCGGAAAATCTCGAAATTACATACAGTATACCCCTGCATTATGTGATCGCCTTCATTAAAAAACACTATTTATAATTGGCAATTGGATAAAACTCTCGATAATTTAATTTTTATAATAGAAAACACCTGAAATACATACTGTACAGTAATACAGTAGTAATACAGTAATATAATATTACCAAAAGAATTATTTAAATTTAAAAATTTTTTTTGAAAACTTGTAATTTAAAATCATTCAATAACATTTTTTTTAAAAAAATAATTCAAAAATCTTTTATTTCGCCTTTTTTTTTTTGATATAAAAAATTATATATTACACTTTATTAATAATAAATTTTTTTAAAAAGCAAAATCACAGAAAATAGTCATTTTACTTACTATTAATCAAGTTACTCATTAGCACTTTTGATAATTAAAAAAATTTTTTTATGATAAATAATTTACTTAATTTGTAACTTGCATAAATCAATAAAAAAGAAAAAAAAAATGCTTTCATCGGACCCAACTTTTAAACAATACATATATAATATAAAATTTAGGATCACGCCAGAAAATTTCCGGCCCGCCTTCAAAAATAATTACCTATATAATTCAAAGTATGAAAAACATAAGTACAGTATACAGATGCGTTGAGAAAATTATAAAAATTCTATTTTTATAAAATTTGTTGGTTTTTACAGTATGCAATAAAATCATAAAAAAATTTTTCATAATAATATATTTAGATTTAGATTTATAAAAATAAGACGCAAGATATTTTTAGATAAACACTGATATTACTTTTAAATAAAAAAAGATATAATTTTTTTCATTATGATGATGATTAATTTGACAAGTACATCAATTGTAACGTTTACATAGATCTCATTACGACTTTTTCGGAGATAAATGAACATGATTACTTGCCTTCATTTTTTTTTTTTTTTCGTGATAATATATGATAATAAGATCGTATCTTTTTTAATGTGAACATACAATACAGTACGTGTAATATCTAGTTATTTACCTTATCTTATTTATAATACCTGCGAAATGAGATCCGTAACTTTTTCCAGATGTACTGTATGTTGTATGCACAGTTTCATTATGTTTTTCTTTGTTTTTCTAATTTCTAATTCATTTAATTTAAAATTAAAAAACGATTAAATAATTTAATTAAACATTTTTTTGTGCTATCTTTAGGTCACCGGAATTTGTATCATCGTTATTAGGATTCGTCGGCTGGCAGAGGTTTATTTTTCTTGTGCATGTGTGTATTGTGGACAGATAAGGCGAACCGTTTATCTCGACTTCACAAGACCTACCCCTGGTTGACCAATTAAATCCAACCGACAAGGCACCATAAATGTGCGTTCTTTGTCGAGACACTCTATATCCAAGTTAGAATTCCATAGAGGACAAACTAATAGAATACTCGGGAATTTGGTCATCTCGACAACCGATATGGTCGGCGATCGTCGCCTACTCGGGTAAATTTGAATCGAAAGAAGGTTTATCGCGTATTAGTAATACCTTCCTCCTTTGAATTATTTGATCGATTATTGGTGTTTGAAATTAGGAATGTTGAACAAGCGTTGTGTCGGTATTTGTTTATCACACGTTCTTCATTGACCCATCAAACTCGATGCCCTAACGAATGATAAACCGTTGTGGTCCAGGCAGATCCAGGCATCACGCTTTCTGATAAAGCGGGTTTCCAGAGCATCTGTTGAGTTGCGTCGACCGAGATCACGAATGTTAACTTGTTGAATGTTTGTTATTATGATGGGCGACAATAACAGAATAAATAGGGTAAGTCGATTCCCTTCGTATACATTCGATAATGCACGTTGACAGGTTTCTTTTTTGCCGATGTTACGCGGCTCCAGAACCGCCTACCGTTATGGTAAGAGAAATATCGATTGAAGGATTTTTCCTTCGAAACACCAAGGAGATGTAAAGTGACACGACATACACCATCAAATAACGGTTTGAGAAGGTTAATTGGGAATTCATGAAAACACACACACGGAAAACACCACCCACGTTTCGAGTACACATCTTGTAACCACAACAAATTTAAATTGGCGGGCGATAGCAACAAGGATTGACTCTGTGGACGCTGGTTGGACGTGGGGGTTTTTTAAGGGTTCGGTTAATTTTTGAATAGAAAGTTTATTGCTATTGACCAAACTAGGTAATATTTCGGCATGCAGCTTTAAATTAGATGAATTTGAAATGTTTTACCACTTTTAATTATGCATATACGTATTTACACATAAATGCAATAAATGTGATCTGTGACCCGCTGAGGGCTACGGACGGACTCGACATGTGTAATGTAAAATATCGATCGAATCTTTTCTCGCATGGAAATTCTTTCGAGCCCCAAGAAGGGAAGGTCAAATTAAAATTGGTCATCGGTCCGGCGAACATGCCCACGACTTAAAAAGGACAAACAATGCTTTCCTTGAAAATCAAATTAAGCGACCCTCAAATACTGTGATCAGTAAACGTGCATTGATTGGGTCAGGTGCCGATCGGGAAAAATTGTGAATGCGGTCGTTGATCTTGAAGAAAAACAATTGGTGTTCATTCATTCCCATATGGGTTTCATTGGAGGCAGAAACATGATGGTTAGTTGTCTGCATGAAGAGGAGAATTTTCTCACAAGATGTACATCAAGGTAACACGCACGTTTGTGTATTTGGAAGCCGGAATACTAGGGAAAATAAAAGCTTCGCCAGCCATCATGAGGTGTGGCTTGCACAGACGTCAATTCCGCACAGGTGATGCAATCGAGCGAATGAGATGAGCGAAGAGATATATCATGTACACAAGGAGTTTTCATTTATTTATTCATTCATTCATTCATTCATTCATTAATTAATTGATTAATCATCGGCGTGCAACAAATGTTTGCTTTTCCGGATGCGCACATTAACTTGTTCAGCACTAAACCATACGAGGTGAGATCAGCACGGGAAGCAAACAAACTTCCTTTTTTTTTTCTTACGTCCCTTTCGTAATCATTTTCCATTCCATTTAACTTTCTTTTTTTTCTTCTCAATTGTATTCCACTCTATTATCATTTCAAGTTCTTTCCCTCCGAGTCCCAAAAAACCGTAGACAAAGTTCTTTTCAAGTTCATTATTGTGATATCGTATATGCGCATGTGCGATTCAGCCGTCTTACCCAAATAGTTAGGCGCTGTGGAAAAAAATTTGCATACACGTATACTGTACGCATTTATCATATCCATGGGGATTGACTGAATGCATCAAATGCCAGATGTGTCATATAAAACGCGCCAATTATCTAATAGCTTATCAGTAGCTTATCATCCGAGCCAAGGGTTTCCTTCTACGCGATCAGATACGGTCGATCGCGATGCGCTCCCCGATAGCTACGTAGCAGGATGAAAGGTTCAACACGCTTACGGCATAATTGCGCACCCGCATGATGGGTGTGATGGTGTTTGGTGATTATCAAGAAATCGGAAGGTGATTAGAGAGTGGCGTTTTTTGAGGAAGATCTTTCGCCATGTAAAGAAGAAATAATTCGAGTCTAAATTTGGCTATAGAGGAGTCGATGATGATATAATTATGGCTAAGAAAAGGAAGGTAAATGTGCCATTGTATGATTGTATAAAAAAAAGTGTACAGATGTTTAAGGTATAGAGATGATACGATGGTTGAATAAGTGTTCGCGCGTTCGTTTTTAAAGTTCTTTATGGTGAATTTGGGATTGATTTACGAAAACGTAACATGTAATGAATGGATTCTGGATGTAACGAGTAAAGTCCCGGGTTGATCAAGAGTAAACTTGTCGCCCTCCTACTCGTTGGGGTAACAATATTCTCTAAAGTATGTGAAATTTCTAGAATCCGGCATTTACGTACACAACGATTTCAATACCGCTACCTGGGAGCTCAAAATTTTTACCTACTGTAAAAAGTCATGATAACGCAGATCGCCAGTCTTTTTTTTTTTGTTTGCTGAATATGGCGGAGTAGGAGAAGAGAAACGTTTCAGCCAATCATTCGATGGTTTTAAGCTCACATTTTTTTTTTTAAACAATAGTCTATTTTTATTTACGTTCATAAAAATAAGTATTTTTTGCGTTGCATTTTTTAATTTATATAAATTAATTTACCTGTTGCGTTCGAGTTGCTTTGCGAACAAATTTATGTACACACTACGTATGTAATATGTATGTGTGATAGGCAAAGTAAAAAACTTGATTGCGGCCCTTCTTTTTTTTTTTTTAATGAACGTTACAATAAAATAATAATAATATAATAATAATTTTGGTGTTCGTGTGCATAAATGATTTTCACGAAGATCTTACTCACTCTCGTATCATAAGGTCAAAATCATACGGCCAATAGTAAACACATATGTTGTTATTATGCGTACACAAATATGTTATTATTGTGTGTACTCTTATTTTACCTCCATGCATTATAAATACCCGAGGTCCTTACTCTCCTATTAAAAATTCTCCTTAACAAATTTTCGAAAAAAAAAATTTCTTTTTTTTTCTTTTTTAAAAAAAAAAAAACATATAGACCAGTTTCTTCTTTCGTGCGCAAACACACTCTCTCCTCGAATTTTCGTCGCTCATATCTTTCTCTTTTGTGCGTCGAAGGAATATAAAATTTTCAGTTGAAAACCACGAAGGAGAAACAAAAAAATAAAAAAATAAACTCTCGAAATTTGTTATCGACTTATTGTCACGAGATTCATCCTCACACAAAATAAAAAAACACAGTTCATTTCACTTCTTCATTCAAAGACAAACTCTTATATTTAAAAATGGATACTGATTGGTGTATCATGTGCGATTCTCACTGCAACATTTCCGTAAGTATCGCTCGAAAAGATGATGGGGGGGAGGGGTTCCGGATGAATGGCAAACTAACGAATGTTGAATTTTGTTTCATTGAATTACAGGGAGCCATCTATTGTTCAGAGGAATGCAAACTTCGTGACCACATGGAAAATGCATATTACCCTCCTTCAACTTCCAGTAGTACGGCACCGTCCTCTTCGTCTTCATCGTCATCACCATCTGTATCACCATTGTTGAAGTCAACTGGTGGTGGAGTCGTAGATTCACAATACGGAATCAATCTGAAGCATTCTTCAAAAGTTCAATTGCCTCCTCCACAACAGCCTACGCTGTTTTACCACCGGGCCCCAATGCCTCGTTATAAACCCGGAGCCTCGAATGCCTGCTCAAGTACAAGAAATTTACGCGTGAGGCGTATGTCAAAATCTTTATACGTTCAATAATTTACTAGTAAAAGTAACAATCAAAGATCATTCACTGTTTACATGAGTAACGCAATTATCATCATTTTTCTTTTCTTTTAAAAAAAAATCCCCCCAAAAAGATTAGGCGAGGTTCTTCTCATAAGATAAAAAATCGCGATCATTGATGAATATTAATGTGCTTATTCTTGCACAAATTCCCCCTCTTAAACGAAAAAAAAAAAAAAAATTTTAAACGAATTTTTGTTTCCTCTTTTTGTACATATAGTCAAGTTTTACTACCAGTATAGTAGCCTCTCTTTCCTAAAAAAAATAAAAATGGTTAGATATTGGTAGGAAGTCTGATTTGAAAGTGATGAGTGGTGTTCTCATAACAATATACATCCATTGTAAATAGATCTTTATTCTCTCCATCGTCAAGCATTTTATTTCACACTTTTTCTCAAAAAGAAATTTGGTCCGCACATTTACACTAAAAAAAGTTGGACCAATTCTTTATTTTTATAAATACATTCTTGCAACTTCAAAATAAAAGGATTTTATCTTTATTTTTTATTATTACTATTATTATTACTACTATCAAGACCTTTTTACTCATCAACATCATCATTCTTTCTATTTTGACTATATACAGTATATATATATATATATATATTTTTGGTATTATATTATATTTTCGATTATCTCTTACATAGAATATATAACACAGACTATCTTATTGTCTTCGGTTCGCCGAAAGAACATTGAAAAAAACTATTGTCTTTCTTTTTCTGTCCTATTATCTTTGATGTTTGTACAAAAAAAATCCTTTTTTTTTTTTTTTTTTTTTTTCTTTTTCATTCCTTTCTTCATTGATTTCCTCCTAGGTTTCTTTCTTTCAATAAAGTTCTTGTGAAAACACAATGTCAATAGGAGAAATTGGATCGTACGCGAGAGAACGTGTAAAGTGGAAATGCCAATCGAGGTGACGCACTCATATGCGTACAGTATGACTCCTTGATAAGCGCTTTTTTTTTTTTAGTTTGAGATGTTGTCGTTCCAAACAACTTAGAGATCATGAACGCATACTACAATATGAACCTGCGATTGGATGTGGAATGGACCATTTGTTTTTTTCGGTTGTTGCTAATTGTATAAACTGGTTTGACTGCTTGCCCCTTTCTATTATGACTAACCTTTCTTCGTCTTCATCCCCGCCTCCCCTGCACATACGTGCACACGAGCATTTTCTGTAATAGGACT